TCGTGTGCGGTCTGTTCGCTCCTAACGCGGCTTCAACGTTGCGTTGTTGGGTTTTCTGAGTAGCCTGATGGGTCTGCGGTTTATGCAAGTTATAGTGATGGTAAATACAGCGTATAAAGATGTAGGTGAGACGTTTTGCTTCGTTATGTCTCGCATCTGAGGTTCTGTCCCCTGAAATTCGGGAAGTTCTGTTGTTCTCTCTTTGGGCTGCTCCTGGCAGAAGGGCCCCGTGCGGGTTGTGCTGTGTCTGTGTCGGGCACGAAGCTGCGGGCTCTGCTGGGGAAGACAAAAGTTCCATGTAAACGCTCTCCACATCTGCTTCCTGAATATGTTCTCGTTTCACGTTAAATGAAAATGAGGCACTGAGCAGCAGCCCGTGTGTTTTAGGCTCTTGAACAGTCGTGTCACTAACTTCCAAGTCGTGGTGTTGCTGTAATGAATGGTCTGTATTTCTCAAGTGTGGGCTACGTTGGGATATGATTTGTGTTACTTTTTCCCTCTCCTTTCTCATCGTAAGGGCTGTAAAGCTGGACAAGCTACTCTCTTGCATCATGCTGAGGGGATTTTCTTTCTTGATCTTAAGCTTATTAAATTTTATGGATATAGTCTATAGCTTTTGAGCAAGCCCATCAGCTACCCTGGTTTGTGTTTCTTTATTGCCTACAAATATTAAAGTCATCCTGTCCTAACTTGCCTGTGTTGTAACATCCATTCTGTGCTATCTTAATCCTGTAAGTCTAAGTACTAAAGGAGAAAAGCTTCTCTTTGTGTTTCTGTCTTTGTTTTTAAGGTGGCATGTGTGGCTTTGAAGTTACCTGGAGCCTGGTAAATGCATGTAGTAAACTTTTTTCCTTGGTTTCTGATAAGGAATTATGTGACCCAGCTCTTGTTGAAATGGCTATTGAAAACCTGTCCATTATTTTTATAATCACTAGTGATCTCAGAGTGCATGGCTGTCAAGAAAACAGTGTTGGCTTTTATTTTTTTAAAGCAAAAACTCAAAACATTTTGAACACGGGTGGTTTTCAGCCAGCATGGTGTGACTAGAATGTAGTCTCTATTTGCTAAGCTAAACCCTAGTACTGCACTTCATCTTAAATTTAAGCTCATAATTGAAATACAGACTCTAATGGTGTTAAATTTTGAGTTTATGCCTCTGGAGGCTGATCTTTGGCCTCCTGAAATAGCCAGAAATTCTTGTACGTGCTGTTTTCCAGACATAAGCCCATGTCTTCCCTATCATTCAAGAAGGATCACCACACAGAAGCAGGCTGGAACGCCTGCAGATTCCCTTTAGCTGTTAGGAATGAACAGCAAGCTCAGTGATGTCAGCAGATCTGTGGAAAACTGAAGCAGCATCATTAGTAAAGTGTGCTCAGTAAAATGAGCCTTGCTATGTGATTTCTACTGCAATGTCATGTGTGTCACTTGGTTTTTGCACCTTTGTTCCTGCTTTGTGAATTTTTATTTATCACCTGATCTTTACATGAGTATTAGAGATGAAATAAATTTAGTCAAGCTAAAGCTGTTTGGATTGACTAGGCCAACAACAAGGGAGTGTTATTAGTTCTTGAACACTCCAGCTGCTGTTGCATAGTCTATTCTGACCTGCTGGATTCCAAAATCAAGCATATTGTGAAGTCCAGGGTGAAAGAGCTATTCCAGGAGCCCAACTGGCAGTCTGGCACAGGATGCTGTGTGGTGCCTGGCAGAGGGCATAACTTTACTAGTGAGTGACTGCAAGTGATTTGTAAAAACTGGAAAAAGGCTTCTCATACAGTTTCAAAAAGAAGGGTATGCTAGAAGCCAGGCTACCAAATGCAAGTACGTGGAAATACCAGTTTCTCTTTCTTGGCCCATGGCAAAGCCCTGGCAAGTGATTGTTGCTGTAGGAACACCCACGGACACCCAACTGCTGAGGATGTGGATACACTCCCAGTCCTGCCCCAGGCTTGTGTTGGGGCAGGTGGGTGCATCATGTAGGAGAGAGGCAGTATCAAGGCATAGCTGGTGTCTTCTCATGGAAATAACAATTTTGTCTCTGTTCCCACTTTCTTTATGTGGATTAGATAATTTGTATTTAGGTTATTTGTATATTTCTTTAAGACCTATGACAAAATCTGCTTGTTTAGTCTGTGATGATAAAAATATTTTGGGTTTTTTTTTGCTTTGAGAAAAGAGTTGACTTAACTTTAATCAAGTCCCATAATGATTCCTCATTAATAAACGTAATTGCAAAGTATTAAGAAATATTTAAAATATATGACAGAATGAGGGTTATTTTTTTAACAAGTATTTTCTGTGAGAGGGCTTATCAAAAATTAGTAATACAACAGTAAAATGGGCAGCAAGGTAATACTTGTTTAATAGGTAGTAGTTATAATAATGAATGTGTTTCTTTACTTGGCACTATGATTTTTATTTTTAAGCATTCCTGTTCTGCCCAGAGAGAACAAGTTAAGTCAATGATAGCATTTAAAAATCTTATTTGTGGATTCGAGAGAGTCTATAAATGGCAACTAAGGAAAACAAATGGATTGCAAATTAGCCTGGATTTTTTATCAGGGTCCACACTAGGACATGTTTATGGGTTAGAAAATTCACGGGCTTTGAAAACTAGTGGCTTACAGTGGTCTTTGTATGAACTGGGCTTTGATGAGGTGCTGTGTATTTATACCTGCTATTTGCGTCTTCAGAAATAGAAACTTAGCTCTGTAGTAAAGTTGAAATTTGGAGGATGATTCTGGGAATGTTTGGTGAGACTGGATCCACCTACCTGTGGACATTCCCTCCAACCAGTCTTGCAGCTGGTTCAGCTAACTCATTTTCAAAACTCAATAACCACAGTGCCTGGTATGGGATGGTAAGACCTGCTCTTGTAAGCTGTATCATCTCTGAAGCAGTTTAGATGGAAACAGCAGAGCAGGAGCTGTTGCAAGGAAGCATTTTGTTTTACGTCTTCTAGACATTTTGTCTGTACTGAAAATTGACTTCCTCAGCCACGGGCTGATGACTCAAGTGTGTCTCAGAGGTGTTGCAGTTCCTGCAAGGTGTTTAACCTTGTTGGAAGACTTCAAGGGCCTTATTTGGTTCTGGCTCTTTATTCTGTTTCTTACTTTGCAACTTCTGAGTTTTCCCACCTGTGCAGGCATAATCTCATAGTAGTTCCTGCTTAGAGGGCATTTCACTTGTCCATATAAGTGGATTTTTATAAAAGCAGAAAATATCCTAACAAGAAAATTGTTACTGTGTAATGAATTGCAGGTAAGACTAACCCGTGTACAAAGCTATGGTTGACAGTCACTTGGGTACTTGGAGGTTCTTTTTCAAGGACCATTTGCTAGTGTTATGCTGACTCACTGCTCCCTGCCTTCTGAGCTCAGAAGTGCTGCTGTTTTGTTCATATATTGTTTCCAGTTTTGACTGACTTCCTTGAATTACTCTTACGTACAAAATGAACCAGAAATTATGCCAGCTGATGACTTGCTTAAATTACACAAGTACGTGATTTCCTGTTCTGCTGCATACATACTTATTTTTGAAAGGAAAAAATATGGAAGGTCTTTATCTAATCTTAAATATTTCAAGTAGGACAGAAAAATTTTCTCATCTTTTGTCTTATTTTTTTGCTGAGTTATTTATTTATTTTTGCTACTTCTGCTTGGCAGACAAGAGGGACTTAAGACCCCAAACCTAATGTGAATTTCTCTGTAAGTCCAAGTAGTTCCAGTCAGATTTAGATTTCAATGGGCAAGGTTTTTGTTTTATTAACTCCTCAGATGTCATGAAGTAACAATGTCTGTGCCTTAGGTGTTGAAACGTTTGTTTTATTTTTTCTTGTTTTGCAGGACATTTCTGCTGGTGGGAGCTCCTAAAGCAAATACTACCCAGCACAACATTGTAGAAGGCGGCCAGGTGCTCAAATGCAGCTGGAATTCAAACAGAAACTGCCAGCCGATCATATTTGACTCCACAGGTAACATGTAGCTCCCTGGGAGGGGAGAAGGGGGGGTGTCTTGGCTCTAATCCTCATGTGAAAGAGCAGAAGGGATTCAGATTCACTTGGGGTTTTTGATGGTCCATCTGAAAGCAGCCATTTATGGACTGGCAACTAGTCAAGGCTTTGTCATTTTTTCCTTCCTCTTTTCTCTTTTAAAATTCTGTTGTCCTTGGTATGTGCTGAAAGCCTGAGTGAGCATGCATTTCCCTTCTGTTTTAACCTATTTATATTTTTTCTCTGCACTTGCCAGCAAGTCTAAAACATTTGGCAACCTAATTCCCAATAAACCCCGAGGGGTTTATTACGTCATAATACCACAGCATGTGAGGAAAGATACTTTTCATTATCAGCTAAGGTGATATAGGCAGAAATACTCAGAAGTTCAATCTGAAGCTGAGAGGATAAACTTGCAACCACAGACAAAATTATTTATTTTTTTCCTGCCTTGGATATAGCTTTGTGGTATTTATGACATTTATGATAGCAGCACTCAAGGTGCCTTAGGTCAGAGGCATTATGGATCCATTTCTGAAGGATGGTAAAGCTGAACAGCAACAACGCTGACATCAAGCATTTCACTCAGTCTTCATGCTCTGCTGCACACAGTGATTTCCACAAGCTATGGCAGGTCATATGAGAACAGGCTGCATGTGCTTTTCTGCTTGAGCCATCCAGTGTTCAATCCTGTTTTCCACAGCATGTTTCAGGCCAGTGGAGAAACCTTTCCATGTCATGGGAGTGGATTAGCAAGATCCGTGTGGCAGGGCAGAGGAAACACCTGTGCTTTTAAGGTCTAGTTGGTTATATTTTGGTTTTGACTGCTGGTGTTTTGACTTGGCAATCTAATGGTTGTTACATTTATGCAGCCTTTGTAAATTGTGTATGATACAGTGGAGAAACTCTTCCTCCTACACCATTGTCAAGGCATGCAACAAAATGTTGTTGGTGGTCAGATTACTGAAACATCCATGTATTTTTTTGAGAAGTGTTGTTACCAGTTCTCTTGAACAAGTACATAATGATACACACAAACCCCAAGCTATTAGTCTCTTACAGGACCCTTTCTGTCAGATTACTTAAGCTCTCCAGTAAGCTGCCAAATGTGACATTTAATCTGCATCAGTGTAAGACAGAAAAAAATAGTTAAAAAATTTTGTTTGTGGGTTTTTCGGTTTGGTGGGGGTATTTTTAATTTTTTTTTGGAGGGGGGAGTGTTTTGGTGTGGGGTTTTCTTTTTGGTTGTTGTTTGTTTTTTTACTTTGGGTTTATTTGCTAGACTACAGGTGAGTTTGTTATAGAGAATCTACGTGTCCCTAATAACTAATCACCACTAATAGAACAGCCAGACAACTTCCAGCAGGAAAAGCTGAGTCACCTGGGTAGGTTCTAGACACATAGTCCCTGGGGAACTGCAATGCATTTTTCTGTCTACAGTGTTAACTTTTGTAATGGGCTTTCCCATATGCCAGGCAGAGTAAATTGCTACAGAAGCCACCTGCTTTGCTCTGTGTGTGGTTAAGGTATATGCTACTGGGCAGACAGTGTTTTGCTTCTAATTTACCTTTAAGTAATGGGCATGTTAATAGCTTGAAATTTAACAGTAAAAACAACAGGTCATAATGGCTTAAGAGGATTTCTTTCAGGCACATTTTAACTTATTCCAGCTTTGTGGCAGTGAATTGGGAAATAATGCATTTGTCAATTATTCTCTGGGTGAAAAGGGGCATTGTATTTTGGCATAATAAATGCACTGAGACAAAATAAAATGTCTTTTTCTTCGTGCATAATGCAATGGTTGGTTGTCTGTGTTATGATGACAATGTGTTATTGCCAACACAGTGTAAACCCCCTGCCTCGTTAGGAGTTATGAAAGATATGAATCACTTAACAGGAAAAGGAGGCAAGAAGATTTGACTGCTGTACTAACGCAAAGGTGCTTTTTGTAGATGACTAATTGGAACCTCTGTGAGAATTCAGGTTCATCCATCCCTATTTCTACATGTGTGTAATGTGACTTCTAAGTCAAGAAGTATTTCTTAGCCCTGCAATACAAGGCAGATTACTCCCCCTCTAAGATTATTTAGCTGTTTTGTTGTGGGAAATGGTCAGTTTGTGACATTTGTAAATGGGAAAAAGAGCACATGTTCTGCATAATTAATTTAAGAGGTTTCTTTGGAGTTCTTTTCTGATTGTTTACAGCTCCTAAGAAATCTGACCTGTGGAAATGAGAACGTTCACACTTGTGGCTTTCCTCTGTTTACCTGTTGATGCCAAGCTACATATGTCTAGTTGCAAAGTTACAGTTGTTATTAGATGTGCCCTGTTCCTTCTCCCGTTGCCTCGCACCACGGAGCCTGACTGCCCGATCCCCAACCAGGCCAACCCACTGCATCTTCCCCTGGAGTCCAGGAGCAGGGAAGAGGCCATGATCCTGTGCTGTGCATGTGGCAAGGGGATGGGGGAAAGGGCGAGTTGTCTTCTGACTCTTGAGGCTGTGTTTGTCTGCTTGTCCCATGGTTATATCACAGATATGAGAGTAGGGTTTTATAGAGGTCCAGCAAGTAAGGTTATTTCTCTCTCCGTTACTTTTTCTTATTAAACATTACTTGGTTTTAGTTTAAGTTTTCCTCTAGCTTTATGGGTCCATTTCTCTTCCCTATCTGTACAAAGGGCACACAGAGTTGGGTTTTATTTTCTAATGTTAGCTTTTGTCTTAAATACCACATTGCCACAGAAGCATAGTCATTTACATGGGACTAATACAACAAGTATTATGTAGCCTAAGAGAAGGTATTAGCTGCTTTATGTTAATCTTTGGAGGAGGAATTAATTCTTCAAGCCCCTACCTCATACCAGCATTGCTTGTCCCTTGCCTTTACTGTCACTCCAGCCTTTGGGAGAAAAGATGTAAGTCATTAAGCTGATAGTTCCTGGTAGTACCAAATTTACTACTTGGTTTCATGTGCGTGACAACTCAGCTCTTTCTGGAGAGGAGCTGGGCAATAGGGGTCCATTCATGGAACTTGCATGCTGACAATACATATATTTCTCTCCTTTTTACCCTCTCCCCACTAGCCTGTAACATAATTAAAACCCTCACTGAAGTGTGCATTGCAATCTTGAAACTGCTGGCCAGAAGAAGCTCACTGTTCTTATGCAGTGTGTTTCCTCATTTAAATCAGCAATATATTTGTGAAGTGGAAGGGCAGTCTCTCCCCTTGTCCTGGATCTCCCAGCATGACAGTTACACTCATGTGAAAACACATTAGAGAATATTCTTTATAACTGTCTGTGTGCATGTGTTTCTGTGCATATTATATTAATTGCTCGTCATGTTCTGGTGAACATAGTGGCTTTGGGAGGCAAAATGTTTGTATCACACATAAACACTTCCCAAATGTAAAGATGCTTTGCTGTGGGACTTTTGAGCATTTTAGCACTGACATCAGTTGGCTTCGATTTCACATAGTTATGACTATGTGTAAATTGCATAACAATCTTGTGTGGTAGAAAATGTCCTCAAATTCAGGGGTATGTTTAGCTGTGCTGCATGTACTTGTGTGTACATGGCCAGGAAGATTTGGTCTTGTGGGGTTTTTTGTGGTTTTTTTGTGTTTTTTTTAAAAAAGTATTTCAAGTACCATTAAGCATGCTTTTTTTAGGCTGGTTTTTGCTCTTATAAGCACAAAGATTAAGTTAAAAAGGAACCAAGAGAGCTAACTTCCTCACATGCAAGCTGTTGCTGATAGTGCTGCATAAGTGAAATGTTAAGCAGTGCAACTTTTATCTGTTAGTCTAAGAGGTTATCCTGCAAATCTAGATGGAAATAGATCAGATAAAAAGGTGCTATGGAAGTATGGAACCTGCCTTACTCCTATTTACCTTAGTAATTCTAAAGCTATATCTGCCACAGGTCACAAAGCTTCTGTTTTGTATTTTGACTTATTAATATAATTGCCACAGCATTACCACAAGGTCAATTAAATGTGAAATACTTGGGATTTTTCTCTCTTGCTCGGTTAATTTTGAGTTCCAGAATGTGTAGGAGGCATTGTTGCTTCAGGACAAGTACTGGGGGGAAAATTTACTTTCTCAAGATAGTATATTCTTCAGTATTATAAGCATAAACAATACCAGTACATCCTTTCCTTTGTGAGGTGGTTTACATTTTACATTCAGATTACTAAAACCCACAAGTTAGAGGTCAAGGTGGGTAAAAATTTGTCTTAATTCTTAACCCTTCTTGGTACCAGGGAATTTTGTGACTGAGAACTTGTTCTTGTTGTGGGTTTTGTTTGTTTGTTTTAATCTATAGCAATAAGGGAATGTTCTGATTTATATAGAGAAGAAAAAGAATCTGGGAAATCAAATGATGGGAAAATTGCTCTTACAGCTTGCTGAGCCCCAGTACTACTTTTTCTACAAGACTGGACCTGAGAGGCAGTTCCTCTCTTAGAAAGCTCAGCAGTGCCTAGTGAGCAGTTGGCTTCATCTGCCAGATGCCTGGTAGCTTTTTCCAGGAAAAACATGTTTCTTGTTGCTAAACTGTAAAAGGAATGCACTGAATATAGCAGTCCATTTTCTGTTTCTGATCAGTTTTGAGACAGAGGTCCAGAAACTTTTGTGTTACACATTTCTTCTGCCTCCCCTTTTCTCCTTCCACAGCCTTCAGGGACTAGCATAGCAAGGCGTGCATAGATAGTACCAAATATTACTTAAAGTATTTCCATTATCTTGCTCAGGGAGAATATTCTTGAGAAGTTTAATTTTTTTCTGTGAGTTATATTTCTTTGGTGTAGTTGTCCATCTTCTGTGTATTAAATGAAATATGTTTTTTATTAGCAAGAGGAGGATCAAAAGCTTAGAGCCAGACAAGAAAACTAGTGAGAAGAAGAGTGGTCAAATGTGCTTTTTAGGAAAATGAACAAGCCATCTTTCTGTTCAGATTTAGGTATTTTACAGTTTGGCATGCATGG